GTTGTTTTACCAATTTTTGGAAATGGATTAGGTATATTTTGAACACTTATTAGACCACCTTAAGTTCCTGTGAATGGAACTACCTGTACAAGGTATCCCACTGACAAAAAGAAAGGGATAATTTTGCTCATTCCTGTTTCCCTTCTAGAAAGCTGAAGAACCTAAAGCAGGGGTGTCAAACTCATGTCGTAACGGTGGCATCATGTGACATATTGGGACTTTTTTCCCCTTTGCTAAACCGAGTGTAGGCGTGGCCAGCACGTGACACATCTAGCCCACGGGTTGGGAGTTTGACAGCCCTGACCAAAAGCAGCAAGAAATATAATGTTGGGAAACACAGGAGGAACTGGCAAATAGGAAGTTCACATTAAATATGAATCCCTTGCATAAACTAACAAGTGACTTAGAAACTAAGCTTATACCAATTGCTCATATTATACAGAAATTAAGACAGCTTATTTAACTTTTTTCATTCCATTTATGAATTTGCAAGTAAAGCAAATTTAACTGAGATTTGATATATATTCATAATCATTTAAACAAATATCAGTTCTTTCAAAATTGAATTAGTATTTATAAAGTAAACAATTAATATTTTGATATCATCAACATTCTTTTCATTCTCTTATCGAGCCTGATTCAGCAGTACAGTACTTCTATGAGACACTTTTTTACAACTGACAATCAATTGTATGAAACTGCATATTCATTAAATACGCACAACACAGAACAGCTTTTCATAAGCAACTTGAATTCTTAGGACATAAACATTCTCAGTTTCAGTTCAATAAACTTTATTAAACAATATCATACTATTATTGATCTCAAAGTTAACAGCATCTTTAATACCTTTATCTTTAATAATCATGTTTTGGTATAGTTTCCCCAGCAAATGGGGAGAAGTGTCCATAGTCAAGACACTTTCTCTCAGATACAAACATGCACACACATAAATATAGAGACCCACTGACATACAGATAGCACCAATCACCTAATCGGCTAGGAAGGAGTGTGAACAGCAGACTGATGCTGGAACAGCTGAGGAAAACACCAATTAGTCAACTCTGTCTCTCTTCCTAACGCTACACATTTGCACTTTAGGAAAGGGAGAGACTAATCAACAAGAGAGCATGAAATGGGGGAGGGATAGTTTTGTAGGCTATGCAGAAATAGCCAAACACCATAAGCACTATCTATATGTAACTAGTAGCACTGACTGCAAAAAATATTTGCTATGAAGGATACAAATTGTCAATTTGCTCCATGCAACTTGCTAATACACAAGTCATTTAAAGAGACTACAATCTGATTTAAAAAGAAAAAAATGCTTGAAAGCCTATTAAGGGTAGAATAAGTCTATACAATAATATATTTTATTTAGTTATTATGTGATAATTTGGGCATGTAGCACTAGTATGCATTTTCCTTTATCAGATTTTTGTTTTAAAATCTTTATGACACATACCTGGACACATAAAATACCTTATTAAAGTGACTTTGCCTCATTTTATTTATTTTGAGGAACAGCAGTTTTTCAACCCAGAAATGAGAACATAATTATAATAAAATATCCCACAATATTATTTATAACTCATAGTATTTTATATTTTTAAATTATAATGCTATTTTTCTTGCAATGTTCTAAAAGTTATCTAGTACTGCAGAATTCAAAAACACAGAACATCTCTCCCTCCCTCCCTCCCTCCCCCCTCTCTCTCTGTATGTGTATGTGTACCCTGTTTCCCTGAGAATAAAGACATCCCCTGATAATAAGCCCAATCAGGCTTTTGAGTACATGCTCTAAAATAAGCTTCCCCCTGAAAATAAGCCCTCCCCGAAAATATTTAAACGCAGAGCTGGATATCAGGTAAGACGGCAAGAGGAGCCCCATCTTGCTCCATGCGCCCCAAAATAAGGTCAAGCGCTTATTTTGGGGTTCAAAAAAATATAAGACAGGGTCTTATTTTTGGGGAAACACGGGTATGTGGATGGGTGCATGCGTGAATGGATCGATGGATTGATCAATAGAATGAATAGCACTTTATGTACTTAAAAGGGAATGGAACAACTACCTTTTTGGAAAAGCTATAAATGTTGTAGCCCAAATACAGTAGTCTTATTAAAAGAGATCATGATAGAAATGCACATGCAATGTGGCAGCACCTAGCCAACCTTGGATGAACTCATCCAAGGCTAGTTTAATGCTGCCACATGCTAAAGCCCAATATTTTTAAGCATTTTTTTCTCAGCTTAACAGCAAATTAATGATCTTGGAATATACAGATTAAATACTCTCTATTCTTTGAAAGGTAGATTACAGCTAATATTCAGTATAGTAGTTTACATTCCAGGGTTAAAGTAAGACTGAGTGATCTTAAGAAAAAATATGTATTTATCATTTAATAACAATAGTTTTGACACTGGAAATTCTTAATATTTGTGAAATAAGTTTGTCAAGTATTATTAATAATACCAGTGTAAAACGTATACAAGGAACTCCTACAACGAATTATTTCATGAAATACTGCTGTCCATTTTCCTTTACATTAAAGCAATTTATTTTTCTATCTTCTGTAATGAAATATTTAATGAAATTAAATATTGTATTATTGTATTATATTACCATAAAAGTGGCCAATGCCCCTCCCCAGTAGGGAGACACAATGAAGATAAATCTAAAATTCTGGACTTCAGGTGTTCCACTTTTCAGGATCTAGAGCTGAATTCCTTCAACTCAGTTACTTATACAGGAATGGGGGTTAAGAAAACACTAACAAATATATTTAATTACTTCATTGATATCATAATTTAAAAATGTAATGTGTGTGCAGTGTATTTGGCTACAGTTATGACCCTTTTGGATTACTCTATTAAGCAAGGAACAATACTAGACACTATTTCTTATTTGAAACTATTATTGTCAGAATCTCAGTATACTTATAATACTAGAAGATCACTGACATTTGCAGCTATACAAGAGCACTTTGATTTTACTGGAGATAACACACATAAAATAGATTTACAACTTGTTATAAAAAAAGCCCAACTATTCTTGCTTTAGTCTCAAAAGTCATATTAAAAAAGCAGTAACTATTAAACTAGCAGAACAACATAATGTAGTATAGTGATTAAGACAATATTTCCTAACTTTGACCATTTCCAGGTGTGTGGCTTTCAAGAATTCTACTGCCAACATGGCCATTTATGAGAATTCTTGAAACTGAAATCCACACACTTGTTAGTTGCCAAGATTAGGAAACATTGGCTTAAGGAATTAGATTGGTACTTGGGAGACCCAGTCTACCTTCAGATCTGGAACCTGCCTGGTGACTTTGGGCCAGTCAATCTCTCCTCCCACAATTTATGTCACCACGTTTGTTGCCAGGAAAAATGATAGGAGTGCTGTGAATGATGCCTTGAGCTTCTGTATGAAAGGCAGGATGTAAACCAAATGAGCAATATGGTGTACATTTCTTCCTATCAACAATTTCTATAGTTTTATATTCTATATGCTACGATAGTAAAGAAAAGAAGGAAAAATTACCCTATTTAATTAGCAGCTACTGATAATAAATATCAGAAACTGTAGTTTCAGTACTAAAGGAAGAGAACAGCGCATCATCAGACTCAGGGATTTCCCTCTGTCACATTCAGGCTCAGGAAGGTTCCAATTAGCTATTCATAGACAGACCATAGACTTCCTCAAAATCTGGGACAGCCAAGCATGCAATACAGCAACACAGAACACTCTTTTAAAGAGAATCATTGATTTCATACCAAGGCTACATAAATACATTTCCAATTAGCTATTCAATTTAACATCAGACTATTTTATCTTCTTTCATTCTACCATTTATCTTCTTTCATTTTTCAGTACAAACAAAAACAAGTTTCATTGCCCAGTTTAGAAAAATGTGTTTAAAGTGCAGAAGAAACAATTCACTTTAGGAAGAGAATTCTACATCTCCAATTTATTTAATAGTTAAGCCAGTTAGCTTACTGTTTCACAAAAATCACCCTAAAATGAGAAATGGAAGGAAAAAATAAAAGGTTTTATAACTCACCACAGAAATAGGCAACATGCTGGAAGTTATTTTCCAAAGGCAGGGCTGGTATCTCTAATCAGCACCCAACAGGCACAACTAACAATATTTCAGCATCTCAATAACACCTTCACTTCCCACCCCTGCCACTGAAGGGCAACCTGCTAAAAGCATTCCTCCTCCTCTACACTTCTGCTCACCTTCTCCTACCAAAGTGACTAAACAAATGGCAGTTCAAAGATATTTATCAACCCAAGAAGCAACAATGAGAGAGAACAGCTACTGTCTCTCCTCACTCGCCCTTTCTCCCCTAAGGGATCAGTTAGGCTCAGCAGCCCCAACTATTATCCAGTCCAGTGCAAGCATAAGAGATACAAAAGGCAGTGCTCTTTATCCCTTTCTCTTCTGCAGAACCACCCAGGCAAGGGAACACTGGTAAAAAGAAGGGGCCACTTACAGCCACTTGCTCACATGCTGTCTCTGAAGAGATGCGATCAGCTATTTCTACAATATTGCTCGGGGAGAGGAGAGCAGCTCCTCTCATTACCCTGGTGGCTACTCTTTCCCAGGTTGTTCCTTGATTCGGTGGCTCCTTCCACTCACTTGTTATCTTTCCTCCCGGCGGTGCAGCTGGAAGGACCGAACACATCGGGCCCATTCCCAGCTGCCAGTGCCACCTAAAGATAATGTGGAGGCGTCAGTAAACTGTCCCTGGTTGCTCCGCTCGCAAAAGCGTTTTGCGAGCGGAGGAGAGGTGGAGGAAGCTACCCGGAGCAGCGGCTGCTGTTTCTTCCTTCCCCCCTTTCCCAGCAACGTAACTGGGAACGTGGGCCCACCGCGGGCAGGTTGCCGAGGGCTTCCACCCAAGACTCGTGATCGTGACTCCCCCCCCCCCCCCCCCCCGCCTCCACCACACGCTCCCCACGATCCTTCCTCTCTCCACGCTTCAAACGCTCGCGGCTTTCCCCCAGAGTGGGAAAAGAAGGGAAGGGCAGAAGTGGCTTCCACCGAAAGCGGCCCCGGGGTGGGGGTGGGGGTTGGGGGCAGTGGTTAACCCACTCCGCTTTCCCACCCGCCGGGATCGGGATGCCGAGCTCGGAAGCCTCCCGGGCTCCACACTAGGGGAGGAATCACGCCGCCCGTCCAGCAAGGTACTTTTCCGGAGACTCCCGGTTGTCCCACCGCGCCCCGGGCAAAGCCGGTTTCTCCGGGCTGGTGTCCCGTGTGTGTCCCCCCCCCCCCCCCCCCCCCCCCTCCCCCTCCCCCCCCCCCCCCACACACACTCTCTCCCCCAGGTTATTTACGGGCCAGTCCCCAGCGGGAGCGGCGAACTCGAGGCTGCGGCACTGAAGAGCCTCCCGCCCGCATGCGGCAACCAGAGCAGCGCCCAATCCCCACCAGCGCTACGGTCGCCCGCCAAGGCGGCAGCTTCGCCCGCGCTGCTCCTCGTTGTTCCTCAGCCGGCGGCTGCCCGAAGCTGCCAGCCTCAGCCCGAGCTCGGAGGGAAGTGCGAGAGAGGAGCCCGGTAAGCGGCGCTCGGGGTCCCGGTGCAGTGACGGCGGCGGGGCCACAGAGGAGAAAGGTGGCAGCAGCAGCAGCAGCAGCGGCAACGTCGGCGGCGCGGCGCCCGCGGCGGGTACACCCTGCACGGAACGGCCTGGCGGAGAGCCCCAACCGCCTGGCCACCTCTGCCCGGCTTCCCCGTCGCGGTTCGTTACCTGTGAGAACCCCGACGCGGATTTGATGGTCGTGGTTCGTTAAAATCATCCCCTCCGACGCCATGTTTCCCAGCGCAGCCACCGCACTGACAGGGAGGCGGGTGGGAGGGGGGGGGCAGTTGGGGGGAGAAGGAGCGCGAGAGCGAGGAAGTGGGGGGGGAGAGGAGGAGGAGGAGGAGGAGGGGAGAGGGAAAACGGGCGAGGTGGAGCGAGGGAGGAGGGCGGGGGGGGGCGGAGCCGGCCTCCAAAGAGGCGGTCCCTGGGAGCGCGCGCGGTTAGGCCGGATTGCACGGAGGGGGCGGGCCCGGAAGGGGAGAAAGGCGGAGCCTTTGGAAAGGTCAGACGAATCGGAGCTGCCCAAAGGAGGAGCCAAATACAACGCGGGCGAGATTTTAGCGAAAAAAAGAGGATTCCTCTAAGCGCTCGGGGTTCAGTCGAAAGCAATCGAGCGCCGAAAGCTGGCTAGGTAGTGTCTTCTCTTATTCTGCTTCGCTTTTACTCCTTCAGATCCGATTGGGTTGCGAGAAGAGCCGGGGAGGTCCTGCTGTAGCGGTGCGGAGGGAATACGAAGTTGATGGCTATTTTATTTTTTTTGCGCAGGAAACGTACCAATCTCGCCTGCCGGCAGATCCCCGGTAGCTCTTTTCCATATTCATGAAAACAGCCGAGACTGTGTGGAGAAATCACGTCCTGCCTTTAGCTGGAATATGCAAGCGTTCTGTTGCGTGCACTTACACTGCGCCGACACATGCATCAGTCACCATTTTTACATCCACATGTAACTGACTGCATCGCGAAGCATTGGCATATACCGCACTGCATTCATACGTGCAAGCTGCCGCCTGCACCTATTGCGATTGACGGTTACCCGGCACCTCTGCGAACAGGTTGCATTTATTCACATTACACCCACGTTTACTGCTCTATATTGTATGCACGGCATATGCACCCCATGGGAATTTCTTGGTATGGCAAAGCGTAAAAAGGCAGTGAAGTGGAAGAAGGTCTGTGTTCGGGGAGAAGCTATTTGAGCATTTAATTCGCGTGTCAGTGCAAGCCTAATACAACGTGTTCTCTTACTTTCTGTTCACATTCACTGCCTCGTGTGAACCTGCCACTGCAGTTTTACACACCTGCACGGCTTGCAAATGCATACCGCAAATAGTACCTAAATGTACTATACCATATTTCATTTGCTATGCATAGACACAATCTTTGCTACCACATGGATAAATGCCATGATGCGAGCGCGGAAATTAGCATTACGTGACAATGTGGTGTCAAATCCAAACTATAACAAATTGCCCCCAAAATAGAAAAAATACTATTCCACCAAAGTCCACAGATTTTAAATAGATATATCTTTCCAGGCGTACGTTCTGGAGCATTTTAGTTGCTGTTTCACTAAGGTCAATGGCTGCAGACAGACTAAATAAAGTATAAATTCTTTATGCAACAAAAATAAGTTAGAATAAAAAGAAAATATTTTTATAATTGGGCCATAAGCTTTATTTTCAAGTGTAATAAAATGCAAAAGTTGTATTAAAGAGTTAATAATGTATCTGATTTTTTAAACTGTGTATTTAATCTGTTCCAAGAACTTGGAGCATTGCAACATAATTAAACAGGAAGGGAGAAAATGAAGTATTCTGGCAAAAGATCTCAAACATCAAAGCAAAAGCTTAAAAGAGCATGAGGAACTCCCACATGCAGAACACAAATGTAACTCCAGACACTTTTTTTAAAAAAACCTATACATCAGGAGTTTATCATAACAGAACCTATCATCAAAAGAGAATCCTTTTCATACCTCATTATATGAAGTCCATATAATATTTATAACCTAATACTCTGTGTGTTTACTTGAAATAGCTTTCACTATGTTCATTGAAGCTTATTCCAGGGTACATATTTATAGAATCCTAATTTTATAGGTACATATCCAACGTGGTGTTCCCTTTCAGAGTGAGTAGTGCTGTACAAAGCACAAAAAGGCGGTAAGCCAAAGCAATTAAAGGCATGAAATAAGGAAAACTATTGAAGCATAACTTTGTCTTTTCCATCCTCTCTAGTCACTTTCTTTCATTAAATTTGTTTTGTTATTGAATTCTCATTCATTCTCTCTATATGGCCAAACCATCTCACCGTTCTTCTTTCTTCCTGATCACTCACTTTATATTCACTCCACATTCATACTTGATCCTATTTCCTCTTGTTTTACCAATACACATAAGTACCTCATTCCCACTGTATTCATCTTACATTTATGTTCCTCCTGATGCACCAAAGTCATACTTCCACGTAACAATTATAACATTGTGAACTTTAATATATTACACTACAGAGACATTTTTGTTTCTTTCAAGACCAATAATACTATAGCAGGCTGCATGCTATCCATCATCTTTCTATCAGTTTGCACATCTTTAAAAAATTCTCTATCCATTTCCCCATCTTTAGTAAACATTCTAACGCAGTACATAAATTCATCTCTTTACTCCAATCTGGTTGTCAAATTCACTTGCCTTGGTCTTTGATACATATATTTATAGTAATTTTACTAAACATTATGATTACAGTATTAAAAACTAATACAAACTAACAATTAAAAAAGTAGAAGGTGCATAAAAAAATGGAAAAGAAATAAGAAAAGAATATAGTAAATAAAAAGAAAAGATATATATAAAGAAGTGACTTCCCATGTTATCACAAGAAGTATGAACAATTTTAGTAACTTACTACTTCCTCTTACAATACAACAAAAGATCTCTTCTTTCTATATCCCATATCCCAATTCTTATCTATAAACAAATCCGTAAAGCATTGTTATTTCAATCCTGGTATCAGCAAAAACCAATTAAGGAGTACCAAAAATAACAAAACATCTATTTTAACCTTGATCAAATAAACCTACTTTATATTCTTTACTTCTAACAATCTTAATTTTTAGTCCATTCAAATAATATTGTAAAACTTGATTTCTTTTCATTTTTTCTTTGTTGCTTCTCATAAAATTCTTCAAAGCTGTAACAAGCATCTTTACTAAATCTGATTTAGGAACATTATTCAGGTCATTCTCTTAGTTCATTATTTGTATGATTAATTTTTAAAACATCAGCTGGTTTCTTTTGTATCTCCAATGTAATATATTTTTCCATATAATTGCTGTATTCTGTCTTTTGTCAATTCATTTTCAATTCAGGTAATCTTGATTTGATCTTGTCAGGTAAAATCTTGTTTCTCTTCCATAACATCTTTTAGACACAGCTTCTCCATAGAGGCAGATGTTTCTATTGCACTATTAGTAACATCACTATGCTCTTCTCCTTTAATTATAATTTTTAGTTACCTCTAGTATCCCATTTTTAAATTTTTATGTTTTTTTTTAAAAAATCAAAAGCTACATTTCCCCACAGGAAACATTCTTTATAATTAATTCAAAAATCTTTCAAATTTACCTGGACTCTAAAATAATTTAAGTTTTTAAAACTTTATAAAAGTAAAGTTGGGGGAGAGAATCTAATTTCTGCTACAAATGCCTCTGCTGAGAAGTTTTTGTCTGCTTTATTTTCATAATATTCCCTAATAGACAAACAATTTTATTGTCCATATTCACACAAAATATCTTATAATTCAAGCATCTTCACTTTTAGCATATACTTTCTCTAAATCAACAATTGTACAATAACTTTCTTCCTTGGATACATTACTGAGTCGTCCATAGGCAGTCTTGGTTAATAATATCCAACTTATGGACAACCCATACTTACCAGCAGGCTGCCTACTACTAAAAATGGCACATGGCATTCTTCCTTGAGCCAACAGACTGATGAAGCTGCACAATGTTTTCATGAGTCGTTAAAAACAAGCTATATATATATAAATGCATCATTCAGCAGTTCATAAAAACATTGCATGGCTTCAGCAGTTCATTGACTCTAGGAAGGACAATGCTGTCTGCTATTTTTAGTAATAGACACCCCATTTCAAGTATGTCTTCCAACTTGCATATACATTTCAGTTAAAGACAGAGTTAGGAATGGAACTCATTCTTAACTTAGGGACTCTCTGTGGTGAAGGGCAATAATCTGGTCTGCAACCTCCATACCAAATATAAGCTATCCTGTTTTCCCCAAAATAAGACATCCTCTGATAATAAGCCCAATTGGGCTTTTGAACGGATGGCAATATAAGGCAAAGCACTTATTTCAGGGTTCAAAAAAATATAAGACAGGGTCTTATTTTCGGGGAAACACGATATATATGTGTCCTTCTCAAATATTGCTTATTGTTAGCCCATTGTTATGTTTGTAACGGGATCAATAACAGCACTTCTCCAAACATTTGATACTGATGCACTCTTCATGTACACGTTAAATAAATCTCATTGAAATTCTATAAACAGACCACATCCTACATAATTGCCCAATAATGTCATGACCCATGTCATTGTGGCTTACTATACACATCTCTGAGTTAAAATATTAGACATTAATTCCTTAAGTAAATTTTACAGGCTCTTACTTGTTTTGAAGACATTCTTGCTGCTTTAAAACATTCTCCTTTTGAAGATACAGTCTTTTGCAATCAATAGTAGCAAATAGAATTTTATTTCTTTTCATTAGTGCACATTCAAATTTACAAGATTTTTACCGTACTCAGTTACCACAGTTGATTATTAATAGAATTCTGGTTTTGTTATCCAAATAAACTAAATAGCTCAATGGACCATTAATGTATGGGCAATATTTATTTCATTTATCGCTGTGATTTTTTAAAAAAATTAAGCCTTACTCACTAAAATTGGTAACATCTAAGATAGCCAACATATCCAAGAACATTCTGCCAGTTAATACCAACTAAAGCTGCTGTTATCTATCATTTTCTTAAAATAAAAATGCCTGAAACAGGTGACTGAATGTCATATTCTTGACAAGCTGCATCCCCCAATAACTCCAGCCATTATGGTCATAATTAAGGATCTTGGTCAGGGGTGGATTCTAAATTTTTTTACTACCAGTTCTGTGGGCATAGCTTATTTTGTGGGTGTGGCTTGATGGTCATGTGACAATTATTTAGGATTTAGCAGAGGTACTGGTCTACCAGGCTTTTAACTGCTTGCAGAGCTGTACAGATCTACCCATTTATTTCTGCAGGCACTGATCTACTCATGTATTTTTTCAGGCACTGGTCTACCCATTTATTTTTGCAGGCACCCTACTCATTTGTTTTCTTTTAACACTGATCAGCTGTAGGACGGCCCTTTGAAGCCCCGTGACAAGAGTTTAAACAGTTTTTTTCCCTCTAGCCATCAGCTGGGACTCAGGAGGCAGCAATAGATTGGGGGTGGGGCCAAATAAAAGCTAAGAATAATGCAGGGGGTGGGGGAGGCGGGGGGGGGGCAGAACCGGTTCAGTGACTTCATATCATCACCGCTACCGGCTCAGCGGAACCAGGCCGAACCGGTAGGAACCCACCACTGCTCTTGGTCTATATACATAAAGAAATATGACATATCTGTTCTAAAAATGGTGATGTTGAATTAAATGACATACATTTGAACAATGTAACCAATGCTGCAAAATAAACCTATTATTTAGGCTATCATCATAAACCAATCTGGAAGAATAGTGAATAAGCTTAAGGAGATTTAATTCTAAGTGTACATACATACATACATACATACATACATACATACATACATACATACATACATACATATCTTTAAATGGCCAAGTAACATTGAAAGCAAAAAAAGACAATTTTGTTTTAATTCCAAGAAACAATTGCCTACAAATAATCAGTTCATATTTATTAAGTTTTCATAACTGTAATTTTAGAAGAAAAAGAAATATAACAAACTGCTGAAATAATGCCTGTATTTTAATTTATCAGAAATATATCAAGAAACAAAAATTAAACTACTGCATTAGGGAAGGATAAGATTATAGAGGATAAGATTATAGAGACAAAAGATGAGTAAACATTTCAAAGTTTAAAAGTACATATTGAAATATTTTGTTAGATAATGGTTACTAGCTGAAATCAAAACAGGTAGTCATCAGTTAAACATGGTAATAGGGACTGGAATTTCTATCGGTGAGTGATGCAGTCATAAAGCAAGACATCAAGTGACCACATTGCTTAATGATGGTAATCCCAGCAGTTCTAGTGCTGTTATGTGAGGATCATGGGTTGTTAAGCAAGCCCCAGATTGCTTGCTACTAGGCCATCAGGCAAGTAAGGCATGGTGCTAGCATGTTGGGCTGGGGGGGCTGGGGTAGCTGCTACTAGGAGGGAGTGGATGCTCAAGTGATTGGAGTCAGCTCAGTGGGGCTGGGGATGGTAGGGGAAGGTTGAATAGTTTACCAGAGTGGCCTGTGACTTCCCTCACAGTACAGCTTTCAATAACCATTTTAAAAACGAAAACGTTTTTACCAGGAGATCAACAATTTTTTATCACCAATTTATTCACTTTCAATATTTAGTGATGATTCATACAATTCCTGAACTAAGTGTAGAGCCATATTTCCCAGTACAGACCATTGCATTTGGAGGGTATCAAGCTGGTAACGTTGATTTAAGTACTTGTTTAAAATTATCAGAATTTCTTTTTTTCTAATTTTTTTTTGTTTAAAAAGTTAAAATACAAATTCAAAAAAAAAATTTAACAAACAGCAACAAAAATGGACAGAACATTTAAAAAGTGCATTAAAAAGGACAAAAACAAAAACACATATATAAATATTATGCCCCCTGGTTGATTACAGATAAATATATTGCAATAATGTTAGTTTCTCCCCCTTGCAAAGAAGCCCAGTCTATAAACTTCTACATCTATTTACAACCAATTTAGCCTGTCATCTATCTACTATATGCAAAAACAAAATAGTTAACAGGTAAATCAGCAGCAAAGTTAAACTTCAAAGCCCTCTGTTAATAATTTGTCATTGTATTTAACTTGTAGAAAGTCTACAGTGGCTTCTTATCTGCCACAAATCACCACAATCATTAACTCTAATCCACCCAGGGTCAAATATCTCTGTTTGGTTCTTAATCATAAAACTTGCCCTTTAGATTTTTAGTGGAAGTTTTCCCAACAATATCTCATCTTCCAATATCCTGAACCCCTGCTGTAAATATCTTCACCACATCTATTGTTGAAGCAGTCTCACTAGGTATAAAGTCTCTTGTCACTTGTTGTCTCGTTAGGTATAATAAATCCATTTTCCAATATTGATCCATCTACTCAGGAAAATCCACTCCAAATTGCTTACCAATTGGATGTGATATGTTCATCTTCTTAAAAAAGTCCAGTTCATCAGTCATCGAATCTGCCAATTCTAAATCTGTAAAATTCAGATCTTCAAATTTCTGTAACAGACCTTTTTCAAAGCTCTTTCTTCAACAAGTGCAAAATATTTTTCTAGAGTATTTTGGGTCAAAGAGCATCTTATAGTACAATAATTTCACTCTGAAGCCAGGAGCAGGGGCAATCTAGGGGAGCCTATCTTCACTGTTTTTTCTGCCATTGCCTAGACATTAATTCCAGATCTGGGCATGTAACTCAGTTACAAAATACATTATTGCTGAAGTCTTGTGCATATTTACTCAGAACAAAGTCCTATTCATTTGACTGAAAGTAGCCCATCATGCAAACAATCACACACTGAATCAAATATCTGTGGAGATTCTCAGTCATCCAGGTCATAGTAGTCTCAAAGGTGCTTTTTCAAAAGGCAACTGGATCAATCAAATCAAATGAATCAAATCAAATGGTGCATACACTTTATACTGATAGAACTTTATCTAAAACAGATCGATAATGCTAAGAACTTCATGAATATTTTGCTGACCCAACAATAAAATGTTATATATATGGAGTGTCATTTCCTGGAATGCTTATGGACCAAAAATTAGTCCATAAGAAGCCCAATATTGTTTAAAAACAGTATATGTAGTCAGGTTTTAAAAGCCTACTTTATCTTAAAGCTCCACTTTTTTGAGTAAATTAAAATGTCCTTTTATGACCTAAGTCACATTTCCTTATAGTTGAGTGCTAAGGAAATACAAGTGTGATTATTATCATTAAGACCTAAATTGCCAGAAATTGTTAGAAATGTTATCTGATGTGGAACAAAGAGATTCTTGTAATGAAAAAAAGATGTTTTCAACATATTACGTTTCTTTATGTAAGAAAGAATGTAAGATCTTTTGAAATTCATGATTTTTAAGGCACACCACACTATTAAATATGAGATTCTGATCTATGTAGGGAACTACCTCTTTATAGCACTTAGACATGGGACTGGGAAGCCACCTGAGGATGTTAGGGGTATAGCTAGCCTGGGGAATTGAAAATCATCCTGGAAGAAAGCAGTGGCAAAACATTTCCGTAACATACAAAGAAAACTTCAGAGATGCTTGGATGTGTACAGATAAGTCATCTGGAACTGAGCTTGACCCAAAAATAACTTGATTTCCTTAGAAAATCACCAATCAAATATTTGATTTATCCCCTTTATTGGTTAGATTAACACATTGTGATGGGCAATGTTGAATTAGTTATATTTTGCTAGTAAATTATTCTTTTAGGAAATTGTTGACTTTATATATAACTCCCTTTGCAGTCCCCCGAAAATCTGCTTCTGGGGCATTGGGAAATCTTGAAAAATAGTTTTTGGGTACAATGCATGGTGTTGAATGTGAAAGGGAAGTGACATAATCCCGACTTATATGTGAACAGAGGAGCAACTCGGAGCAGTTTTAATAAGATCCAAACTTGTTAACATTCAGATGACATATTTTTCAGAGCTGAATTCAGAGGCATCCATGGGATGTCAAAAACATCCTGATGGCAGCTATGACCATACAATTGAAGCCCCTCCCCCTTGATGTTTCTCATGCACATAATGCACATAAAAAGTGACAAGGCCCCCATCATTCAGAAGTGACTGCCTTCCTCACTTTGGGGGATGCTCAAAACAAAGCACCCTTAGTGCAGATTCAAATGAAAAAAATCTGGCTGATCTTTGTTGTTGTTTGCAAAGCTACAGTATATAGGTCTTGAGCAGACTATAGCTTTGCCTTTATACCAAAGCACCAAAATTGTAGTGTTACATAACAAGTCATGTTGTAACTAGAAATTATATATGTATAAGAACACACTTAAGTTTCACATCAAAAACACTCACTGTGATTCTTCCAGTAATGCACTTCAGTATAAATGTGGGTAATTGTAATAGTCTTTTGCAAGCTGATGCCTTTCAGCTGATCTGGGAATTATGGGAATTACCTTCCCATAACACCGTTTTGGGAAAGGCGGGAGGCATGTATGAACATACTTTACTTTAAATGAACTTCATTTCCTCCCTTCTTCCAAAGTAATAAGATTAATTTCAGTGATAAGTAGTCTCGCTCCCCCTCCCTCCCTCCTTCCCTCCCTCTTTTTGGCTTAATGGTTAAGGCACCAGTCAAGACAGCAGGAAAATGTGAGTTTTAGTCCCACCTTAGACATGATAGCTGGCTGGGTGACTTTGGGTCAGTCACTCTCAGCCGTTGATGTCAGGCTTGGACGAGAAGCTGATCAGTCAATTCCTGTTGCAACCAATAGATCAACACTCAGTTGATCCAAAAAGAAAAAAAAGAAAAAGAAAACTCTGCACTTGTAGGAAAATGCTAGGGAAAAAAGGTGATAGTTTGATAATAACCTGCTCTGGGAGGTAGCATAACCCCCAGTCCAGAGATCCACATGGCCTTCATCTTGGCCCTCTTTAGGTAAGGTTATCATGTATCTGAAGAGGCAGAGGAGGCCTCTGAAGAAGAGACAATTGAAAAGGGGGGACAAATGGGTGGGGTGAGGAAGAAACCCTAACTGCTTAACTTTCTTGGCATTCGTAACAAACGTTACAGTG